CTGCTGCTACAGCTGCATTTCATGTAAAGGAGCAAACCATGTTTCAGAGCTACAGACAGAGGTTTTGGTGCCACTTTTGCAGAGAGGAATGTAAAGGACTAGTCCAAGATTTTGCTGTGTTTTAAATCTTGTTTGCTGTCTTAGCTGGAGCCAGACATGAATAGCAACATAAATGTTATCACCACACTCTTTTTATACAGCTGTAGGTCCAGTACACATTTTGACTGGCTTTCTTCACAGACTTCAGAGACCCACCCTAGCTCTGGTCGAGAGTGAAAAATATTCCTGTCAGCAGCTTCAAAGCCCTGCTGTATTTACATGTTGTATTTTGTGTATTTAACAGATAGAAATAGAAAAACAGACACTGTGGTTTAGGAGCTGTTTTCTGACAGTGGAGATATTTACTGACCAGCAACAGCTGAGCTCACTGAGTGTACGCAGCATCTCTGATGTCCTGTCCTCAATGTGGTTCCACACTGCCATAACGTGAACATACTGGGGAATAGTTTACAAGCTTACAAGAGAAAACATGTAAACAACACAGTGTGGCAGTTGTAAGTTGTGTTATGTCATTTTTGATGGTTATTAAGTGTTCCCCTTGTTTCTCGTATATGTGCTAAGCTAATCTCCCACACTTCTATTTCTGTAATAAACACAGAGAGACTAAATTGGTATGGATGTGTATTTGATGGCATATATTGGAATAAGTATCCCATGCTATTTAATAAACTCTCTAAGTCATAAAAATGGTTTCAAATTCACCAGTCTTCCTGTAAAAGCAAACAGGCTATTTGTGGTAATAAAATGAACATATAATTGCTTTCAGTAATGGCTGAGTTTTTTGGCCTGTGAAAAGCAGTGAATTCTCTGCAACCCTGTGTGCATTAGTCATACAGCTCTGCTGACAGTCTCCCACAAACTGGGTCAGTGCCACCTTCGACACTACCAGATGGGAGTGAGTTGCTCATGTAGGTCACTCAGATTGAATTAATTGTAAAAAGTAAGTGCATTTGAATATCACACTTCAATAATAATGACTGCCTCTTCTACTCTGTCTACAGGAAGCAGTGGTTCAAACTGCAGCAAGAACGAGGGTCGGAAATCCGGCGGCAGTGGCAGTGAATCTGAGGTCAGGAGCCACCGAGCTCCAAGCGAGCGCTCCGTGGCTCCTCCTAGTGAGCGAAGCATCCATAGCTCTGTCAGCCACCGTAGTGCCAACTCCCACTCAGTAACATACGGGCCTGGCCTTGTCTATGGGCCCCCTGGCCTGCCCCCACAGCCCCCACATCTGTCTACAGCTGCACCTGGAGCTCCACCAGGCAGAGAGCTCACCTCAGTGCCCCCTGAGCTCACTGCATCACGCCAGTCTCTGCGCATGGCAGTGGGCAACACTGGGGAGTTCTTTGTTGATGTGATGTGACACAGGTTATAGCCCGACAGCAGAGTAGCAGGTCAGGCTTTCTCGTGTCTTTATAAGGCTGAGAAGGACAGAGGGAGAGGACATGGACAGGAGGGAGGGGAAGATTGCAGAAGCTCAAACCAAGGCCTTGATTCCACTTTCCAAAAAAAAGAGATGGAACCAATCCTATTGTGTATGCTGAGAGCAAATGTTCTTCTTCTCTTGTGCTTTTCTTCCAAGTAGTAGTGGTTGTACTTTCTTCAGTGAAGAAACCCCCTCGCTCAAGATGGAACCAAAGCGCCTGTCTTCATTTTCTGCTCCCTGGTGGGGAGGAATTTGTGCAAGGACAAAGAGTAAGAGAAAGGGAAGGAGGAGGTGAAAGCAGGCAGCTGGTGACGATGACTCAGCGCTTTTCTTCGGATGTTTTTCATTTGTTCTTCTTTTCGCTCCTCTCCACCTTCCTTATCTAACATTCTCTGTCCTCCCCCACCCGTGTCCTGATCAAAACTGAGAGAAAAAGAAGCCTCTTCCCTCCTTTCAAATTCCACTTGCTGACCTCTAACAAGAAGAAAAAAAACTGAAAGAAAGCCAAATTGAACACTAACTGTTAAGCTTATTTAGACCTGCAATTGTTTGCTTGACTTGAGAGAAAGAAATGGAATATCTGTACGTAGAGCAAGAGAAGCGCAGTCCTTATTGTAAGAATGCATTTGTTTTATTATATAGGTAGCTGGTCACAACTAGTTTCATTGTTCAATGCTAAACATGAGCATCCAGCTTCATGGGTCCTTTGTACACTACGCAACTGCATTTTAATCTTTTAACCAGAGCATTTTCAGACTGTCTTGTGATAATGTATAGTGGAAAAAATTCTTATCATGTCTTTAACACTACTCTTTTATCAAGCAAAAAATGTCTTTTTATTTATAAATATAGTTTTATGACTTAACTTGGCTGCTCTGTGTTATGTTTTATGTGTGTGCATGTTTGAACAGTGCAGCCCAGTCTGTTTTTCCCCGGTGGTACCTACGGTCATATTTGCACTTGAAAGCAAGTGGATTCCAGACTGTCCAGGACAAGGAATTTTAAGGTTGGGCAATCTGGTGCACAGATGTGTGTGGGCTGTGGGTGTGTAAGAGGCCTGTGTACATTTCCCTCTGAACCGAGTGACCATATGCAAAATATTTTCTGTGGTTAGAGAGGTGATTTAATTTTTAACTGGGACAGAAAATGCAGAATTGAATCTGATGGATTCAGCTGCATAAAACAAGACCACCAACACAACCAAACATATGGTAACATTTTCTAAATGCCCCCCAGGGAATGTTTGTCTTCTTTCCATTTACTAAAGATAGTGGTCGTGGTCCATCTCTGGAGCTAGTAATTAATTCCACGGTTACTCAGGAGCATTTAATTGAGCAAGTTGGATACATGCCAACATGCTTCCAGGTCCGTTTTGAAAGGAGGACTAGTCCACTGTGTCCTATATAGTCATTCCACCATTATCCGTTAATTGAGTACCGTGAAACGAGCACTAATTGACCAGTAGCCCGTGTTGCTTATCATAACAGGGCCTGGGTGCGGTTTACACATCGCTGCAGCCGCGCCTTTTCCTGTCACAGCGGAACGGCTGTGCGTAAGGACGCCGGGTCAGCTGACAGCAATCTAAGGACCGGGAGGAGGCAGCGGAGTAAGCGGGTGTGCGAACTGGGAACCTACTAGAGCTGACATCAGCTGCCCAAGCCTAACTGGGAAGCGAAAACTGGTGCCGTTTGTGAGAGAACTAGGGTAAGCTCACCAGAGTCGAGATTATTAAAAGTTTCCGGCCACAATGATTAAATGTAGCCCGGTAACAGTTAAGGAGAGCCGCTGAAACGTTTCATTCGTAGCCGAATGCTACTATTAGCAACTTTAGCCACCAGTCCCTAGCTAACATCAAGCAGTGGCAGCTAATGTGATGAAACTATTTTTTTCTTTCAAAATAAAAGCATACAGCTTGTCATTTTTGTACTTTATGACTGATTTAATGTTATCGGGAACAGTCGGGGCTAAAATTTCACACCCGTTCATTTGTACTATGCCATAAATTAGGTTTAGTATGTCAAGTGGTCGTAATTCGATCTGATTATCTTTTCACCGGAAGCCCGTTTAAAAATTCTGCACAGATCGACGCTAGTTTGTTTAGCATCGCCGCCACCTAGCCTGCTACAGTAAGCTAATTTAGCTAGCTACCTCTCACTCGGTTTATTCCCCATCACTTTGATCGGAGCTGAAGGTCAAGGCTCCATCAATACTGTATACTCCAAGATTATTAAAAAAAAAAGTGTGTCAACTAAATTTGCCCCTCAACGGTTGACGAACAAATACAGAAGTATAAATCATTTATGAACGTTAGGAAATGGCCCAAGTGAGCAGACATCTTGACTTCGTCCAATGAAAGGGCGATTAAACCCGCTTAGTTCCTGGCAGGATTTAGTCGGTCACGACTCGGCATTATCTTTATGTGGAAATTATTTTACTTATCATGGGCTCATATTTTTGCCGCGTGCTTCCTCTGAGCACTGATTAAGTTGTCTGGTCTTTGTCTTCGAGGAATTTCAGCATGTAATTCATCCTCTGATTTGCAGGAGCTTCATTATTACATGAAGGTAAATTGCTGTGATTTGTCGTACTCAGCCATGAGCAAATTCATTGTCTAACAGCTGCACTGCTTTTGGATGAATCTGATTGCTTTTACGTTTTAATCTTATTTTGGATTTAGTTTAGTCTGTTCAGATCAAGGTAGTATCCAGTAGTAAAATGCAACCCAGTAAGAGCAACAGATTTTTACCAGGAGGCATCCTGCTTCAGATTGATGGTAGTCTGCTACTTGATTTTACTTGGGAAGAAAAGAAGTTTTAGTGTATACACATGCATGCAACAAAAATGAGTCACGACAGTGGTGCAACTGCAGAGTATATTCAACTGGCAATAGAGTTGTGTGTGTGTGCGCGTGTGAAAGGGAGAGAGACAGAGAAAGCGGATGTGGGGGACAAACACTTCCCTGTACCCTTGATCACTCCCTCACTTTTCACTGCTTTCACTTCTCTCTCACCCCCTTTCCCTCTCCCTCACTTTTCACTGCTTTCACTTCTCTCTCACCCCCTTTTCCTTTGGTTTCCTTCCTGCAATCTTTTGCTCCATTTATATCTCTTCTCAGGTGGCGTTTTGTTTCACCATGGCCAGTTGGGACTGAGAAGTAGCCAAAATGATTGGAGGACTGTTCATTTACAACCACAAGGGGGAGGTTCTCATCTCCCGGGTCTACCGAGACGACATAGGGTATGTTTCTCAGGAGCTAAGCTGCTGCAACATTACTTAATTTTAGGGGGACATAGGTCAATAAGAAGGTCCTGATCTAGTGGGGGTGACCATGTTGGGGTTAATCCTAAAGGGATCATAAATTATTATATCCTTTTTCCTATGTAAAAAGTTCACATTTGTCTTGTTTCATTATTTCCTCTGTGTCTGAAAACACGTTGATGCAGGATTACATTTAGGACAATCTCAGACTAAAGGAAGTCCACTAAGGGCATAGTCCACATTTAAATAATTAGAAATTGCAGTATGCAGTGAGTTTCCCAATAAATTGACAAAATAAAGGGGACT